AGAGGGAGAGAAATGAAAAAATGTCAAAAACCTGAAATGCCCCTTCACCCCACTAGGATGGCTATTATCGAAAAACAGAAAACAACAAATGTTAAAAATGTGGAGAAATTGTAACCCTCATGCACTTGAATATGATGAGTATATGAAATGGTGAAGTCACTGTGGAAACAGTGTGGCAGTGTCCCAAAAAGCTAAACATGGAATTACCACATGACCCAGCCCAGGAGACCTGAGAGTAGGGACTCAAACAAATACTTGTACACTAACACTAAAAAAAAAAAAAAAAGGACCAAACCAAACTCACTGCTGTCGAGTCCATTCCGACACATAATGGCCCCTCCTTGGGTTTCTGAGGTAGTACCTCTATGGGAGTAGATTGCCAAGTCTTCCTTCTGAGGAGTGGCTAATGGGTTTGAAACTCCAGCCTTCTGGTCAGCAGTCAAAAGCCTTAGGCACTACACCACCAGAGCTCCCACACTAATGCTCACTGAAGCATTAATCACAATAGCCATAAGGTAGAAACAACCCATGTCCATCAACAGATAAATGGATAAATAATAGAATATTATTCAGGCATAAGAGAAATGACATTCTCACACATGCTATAATAAGGATGAACCTTGGAAACATTACGCTGAGTGAAATAAGCCAGATATTAAAGGACAAATATTATATGATAGTACTTCTGTATCTAAAACATGCAAATGCCTAGAGACCAAAGTACATTGTAGCTACCTGAGCTGGGGGAAAGGATATGGGGAGTGGAAACTTAATGGGTAGTGTGTTTCTGTGTAGTGTCCCTGATGATGCAATGGTTAAGCACCCAAATGCTAACCAAAAGGTGGGTGGTTCAAACCCACCAGCAGTTCCCAGGGAGAAAGATGAGGTACTCTGCTTCTGTAAAGGTTTACAACCTTTGAAACACTAGAGGCAGTTCTAGTCTGCCCTATAGTCACTGTCTTGATTCTCTAGCACTGTTATATTATAATAGAAATATTACAAGTAGATGGCTTTAACAAACAGGAATTTATTCTCTTACAATTTAGGAGGCTAGAAGTCCAAATTCAGAGTGCTGGTTCTAAGGGAGGAAACTCTGGTGGCCTAGTGCCTAAGCCATTTGACTGCTAACCAGAAGACTGGTGGTTCAAACTCACCAGCCACTCCTCGGAAGGAAGATTGGACAATCTATTTCTCTGAAACCCGAAGAGGGGTCGCTATGAGTCAAAACTGACTCAATGGCAGTGAGTTTGTTTTTTTTTTTGTTTGTTTGGGTCTAAAGGCTGGGTGAAGGCCCCTTGATCTTGGGCTTCAGCTCTGCCTATTGCTCCAGGCCCAATGGATCTGGAGGTGCTTCCTAACTGAGGTGGCTCCTGGCTGCTGAGGCTAACGAACACAAGGTCACCAAGTAAAATGGCACAATCTCAAGATCAGTAGGCACACAGCAGGCCAATGGTTCAAATTCAGGAACTAGAGATGAAGACTTAGCCAAATGTAGGATCCAGATGTGCCAAAAGCTTCCTATGAGACCTTCCTCAAAGCTTTTCTATATATACCAGAAGCAGACCACACCCCAAAAGCAACTACTTAGATGCTCACAGCAGATTTCATCATGGAAGTGATTACACTCTCAAAATGGGTAATAACTACATCCAGCTGCCAAGCACTCAAAACCATGCCCCAGCCAAGTGGACATACAACCTTAACTACCACAGTCACTATGAGTTGTAATTGACACAATGGGGGGGGGGCCTTGGTTTGAGTTTTTGGAATTTTTGTTTAGGATGATGAAAAGTTTTGGAAAAGGACGGTGGTGATTACTGCACAACACAGTGAACATAATTAATGTCACTGAATTGTACATGTAAAAGTGGTTGAAATGACAAATGTTTTGTTAACATATATTGTATCATAACAAAAGTTAAAAAAAAAAAGAAACAGAAACCTAAAATGATAAGGAAAATAATCAACACAAATCCCTTAAAAATTGGCTGTAATTATAGACCACTTGTGCATACAATTTTTTTCCCTTTTGATGTTCAAACAGCAAATAGAAATAATCAGCTGATACTAAGTCTGGCTAAGGCCCATAAAACTACTCAGGGTAAGTGTTTATTTTTAGAGAAAGAGAGAAAAAAAAGTAACATAATAATTCTCCTGTGCTCATAAATTGTCCCTTGCTTGGGGCTGCTTTGGTGATCTGGAGCTAGAGTTGTTAGCTTTAGCATGCTGGCTGCAGTCCTGAAAATTCTTACATGGTTGATAGGGCAGTGCACTCTAGGAGCTGGGGCTGATTTAATGAGCAGCTCTGGATTCCTCTGGATTCAACCACATTCCTCTGCAGGTGAAACCAAGCCCATGCTCAACTGTGATCTAATCCTGCTTCACACTAACTTGATCTTCAAACAGGGCACTCCCAACCAAGGAGGGACATCCACATTGCCTACCCCGCCCCCCAGTAACTGCCCTGGGAGAGAAATGTGATAAAAGTGAATCAGTTTCCAGAAGCCCCTTAGCTGAGCCAGCCAGTGGCCTTATCTACCCGTAATCCAGTTAGTTTAGACCCTCCAGCCACTCCATTCAGTCTTAATCTTTTATTGCAAAAGGGCTCTCCAGGCTGCCACCTCAAATTCCTCTTCACAGGCAGTTTGCTCACAAATAAGCTGTGTACTGAATCAATGCTCCCCAAACTCGAGTGTGATACAGAAGGTAGGCACCATTCCAGTCGTTCTGGGTGGGGAGGGTGGTTTAAATCAGGAGTAAAGAGGCTTACCTGCCACTAGCCAGGAACTAGAGATGAGAAATAAACATAGTCTCTGAGCCTAGTCTGTGCAGGAGATAAGTAAGCCAATGCCCAAGGACTGTGGGAAGGGTGGGCATGATAGAATAGCACACACTAGTATCTGGGGCAGATTAAAGAGCAGTTTAGGATTCTTCTATGGATTCATCTGTGACAAAACCTGAATTCAAAAATCTTGTAAGAAGCTAGGAGAGCCTAGCACCACCCCAGCCTCCCAATGACAGGAACAAGTTAACTGCTGCTTCTCTTTACACTCCTCATACCACATCCCCACTTCCATTACCCCAGCCATGTGCACCCTCTTTTGGGCCTGGGACACACTAAATTTACCTTCTTCAGGGCTGTTGCAGGGTCTAGCATATTCCTTCCTAGTCTTCTCATGGTTGCTGTTTCTTATCAGGAGGAACTCAATTTATATATCATCTCCTCATAGAAGCCCTCCCTGACTATTCAACCTAAAGGGACCACCCAGCCACACACTACCATGTCTTTAGAATTGTTTGTTATTACAACATACTCCCTAAGGGCAGTGGTGGTTCAAACCAAAAAAACAATAGTGGTTCAGTGGCAGAATATTCACTTTTCCTGCAGGAGATCTAAGTTCAATTCCCAGACAATGCACCTTTTAAATAGCCACAACCCATTTATCAGTGGAGGCTTGTGTGTTGCTATGATGTTGAATAGTTTTCATGAAACTTCCAGACTAAGACAGACCAGGAAAAAGACACTAAAACAAAGGAGGAAGAAAAACCTGGCTCACCAAAAACCTGCTGATAAAAACCCAATGGAGCATAGCAGTCTGATCTGAGAGCCATCATGAGGATGGCACGGGACCTGATAAGTTTTTGTTCCAGTGTACGTGGAGTCTTCATGAGCTGAGGACCAATTCAATGGCAGCTAAGAATAAAACATATCCCATCCTGTCCTGAGTAGCACATAGGCACTCAATGAAATGAAAGATTGTTGATGATTGGATGTGAAAAACCCATGCTACCCAAAAGGAACATAATCATACTTGATAGAAAGGGAGAAGAGATGCTGTAACAAAGTGCACACAACTCGGACTAAGTAGGCCGAAGATACCACTGAAATGTGAGTTGAAGCTTAAGCAAGGGGCTTTTACTCAAGAGAAAGGAAAGCTAATGCCATGCACTGATAGGGAATCAAAAACTTCTGAACATGCATGACCCTGTAGGAAGCAGTAATTCAGGAAGGCAGTTATTCATTAAACACTAACACTGTCTTCCCACCTGCATATGCACACAGAATATCCAGAAGGGGGCTTGGTGCATAAAATGTGTGAAGGCAAAGAGTGAAAATGCTGGGAGTTTGTTTTGTTAGTGGCTGTGAACAGAACAAAACACTGTCCAGTCTTGTGCCTTCTTCATGATTATTTGTATCTTTGAGTCCATTGTTTTCACTCAGTCAGTTTGATTTATCATCTCATTCTCACAAGGGTACTAAGAGACTGAGTGGCTGATTTCTATTACTTGAACATGTATTTTATAGTGCCTAAAGCATATGAGGGAGCCCTGGTAGCATAGTGCCTAAGGCATTTGACTGCTAACCAGAAGGCTGGTGGTTCAAACCCACCAGCCACTCCTTGGAAGGAAGATTGGGCAACCTACTTCTGTAGTGATGCCACTTGGGAAACACAAGGCCAGGTCGCTATGAGTCAGATCTGACTCCATGGCAGTGAGTTTGGTTTTTGGTTTGGTAAGGCATTTGACTGCTAATCAGAAAGCTGGAGAGAGGTTCAAACCCACCACCCACTCCTCGGAAGGAAGGTTGGGCAACCTACTTCTGTAGTGATACTGCCTCGGAAACCCAAGGAGATGTCGCTATGAGTCAGATCCAACTCGACGGCAGTGAGATATGTGTTTGTTTTTCTAGGATGAAAGGACATTTCCAAAGTTCAAACCTATTTCCTGATGCTCTGACAACCCCCAAACCTGACACAAACCTGTCCTAAGCAGTTATCACACTAATTTCAAAATACCCAGTTCCTTCTATTAGCACTCAGTACTGCCAAGGTAAGAAAAAGAGCCAGGCCTCCTCCCATGCTAAGTTGTCTTGTTCCTATAAATAGATTCAGTAGATGTGCTTGATGTGGCTTCCTCCTCAGAGACAAAAAGGCACAGGTTAATTGCCAGGTGCTGAGGTGCGGAAGGCCACTGTGGATGCCCTCAGGGACACACAATACCTGTAGGTAATCCTCACTTCGGTACCAGGCTCGTCTCGCTCCCAGATCAAAGCGACATTCTCTGGGGACTTCTGAACATGCTTGTCCAAGCAGTTAACTGCACAAAAACAAAAGGTTTTATGGACATTACACGTATTGCTATTAGCATAAAATCAGTGGAGTATTCGTTTGTTATGCCTTGCTTGACTCTCCACTGAGGCAGACCCTTCCCTCATCAGTGGTGAGGTTTTCTACCGCCTTGAAAGAAATGTGCTTGCCAGACCTGTGATAACAAGGGTGATCATTACACAAAGATGCTCTCAAAGGGGCACAGTGATCGCACAAATATTCTGAAGCAGTCTCTCTTGGACACGTTATCATCATCTGGGAAACTTTTATAAGTGCAGAAGTCAGGTCACCCCAGAGATTCCAATTCAAATGGCCTAGGCCTGGACCTGAACCTCATTGCTTTAAATGCTCCCTGGATGATTCTAATGTGCAGCCGAGGTGGGGCACCACAGTCAGACTGCTGGAAAGAAAACTTAAAGCAAACAGGACAGTCCAGTTTTTAGTACTCGGCACATTCCGCAAACTCTCATTTGCCCAGAATTAACCTTGCCCCACAGAGTTGAGAAAAAGCCGGGGGCGGGGGGACCAGGACAGAGCCAGGAAGCAGCAGAAGCAGGGATCCAGGTAAGGCCTGGAATCCAGGCCACTGCCCTCCCAAGCGGTGCGAAAGCAGAGAAACAGCCGGGGGACCAGAACAGAGCGAGGAAGCCCTGGCAGGGATCCAGGTAAGGCGGAGGACCTAGGCCACAGCCCTCGCAAACGTTGGGAAAGCAAAGAAAAAGGGCGTGGAGGGGGGACGCCCCGGGGACAGAATGAGGAACCAGAGGCAGGGACCCAGGTAAGGCCGGGGTCCCAGGCCACGCCCCTCCCAAGCCTCAGGAAAGCAGAGAAAAAGCAGAGCAAGAAAGCAGAGGCAGGGATCCAGGTAAGGCTGCAGATCCAGGCCACGGCCCTCCCAAGCGGCAAGAAAGAGGCAGGAAACTACATAAGGGAGGGTAGGGAGGGTGGAGAGGTTTTGAACAGCTAAGGGAGACAAACTGGTCTGTCATTTTGTCCTACTGTGGTGGCCTTTTGCTGAGGCTTGAGTCTGTGCCACCAGTGTCTGAAACCCAGCAGAGTTGCACATGGTGCACAGGTTTCAACAGCTTACAGACTGAGACAGACTAGGAAGAAGGAGGAGGCCATCCACTTCTCAAAGAATTGGCCAGGGAAAATCTTATGAATAGCAGAGAGAAACACTATCTGATACATTACTGTGCAACTTGAAGAATAGCCTGGAAACATTGTCCAATACATTGCAGGACAATAAGCCACTTAGGTCAGAAGGCTCTCAAAATAGGACCAGGAAGGAGCTGCATCATCAGAGTAGAACCAGCCTTAATGATATGGATAAGGTAAAGCTTTCAAGACCTCCATTTGCTGACATGGCACGATTCAAATTGAGGAGAAAAAACTGGAAACATCCATTAATAATCAGAACATGGAATATATGAAGCATGAATTTAGGAAAATTGGAAGTTGTCAAAAATGAAATGGAGTGCATAAAGATTGATAGCCTAAGCATTAGTGAGCTGAAATGGACTGGGTTTGGCCATTTTGAATCAGACCACCATGTGGTCTACTATGCTGGGAATCACAATTTGAAGAGGAATGGCATGACGTTCATTATCAAAAAGGATGTTTCAAGATCTGTCCTGAAGTACAATGCTGTCAGTGATAGGATAATATCCATAAGCCTACAAGGAAAACCAGTTAATACAACTATTACTCAAATTTATGCACCAACTACTAAAGCCAAAGATGAGGAAATTGAAGATTTTTATCAGTGTCTGCAGTCTGAAATTGATGGAATATGCAATTAGGATGTGTTAATTGTCACTGGTGACTGCAATGCAAAAGGTGGAAACAAAAAAGAATCACCAGTGGTTGGAAAATTTGGCCTTGGTGACAGAAATAATGCTGGAAATCGCATGGTAGAATTCTGCAAAACCAATGACTTATTCATTGCAAATAACATTTTTCAACAATATAAACGGTGGCTATATGTGAGGACTTCACCAGATGGAATACACAGGAATCAGATTCACTACAACTGTGGTAAGAGGCGATGAAAAAGCTCAGTATCTTCAGCCAAAACAAGTCCAGGAGATTATTGTGCAACAGACCATCAACTACTCATATGCAAGTTCAACTTGAAGTAAAAGACAGTTAAAACAAGTCCATGAGAGGCAAAATATGATCTTGAATATATCCCTCCTGAATTTAGAGACCATTTAAAGAGTAGATTTGATGCACTTAACACCAATGACAGAAAATCGGAAGAACTGTGGGATGACATCAAGAAAATCATCCATGAAGAAAGCAAGAGGTCACTAAAAAGACAAGAAAAGAAGAAATGACAAGATAAAAAAGCTGAACAGAAGATTTCAAAGAGCAACTCAAGCAGACAAAGCCAATTGCTATAATGAAATGTGCAAAGACTTGGAGCTAGAAAACCAAAAGGGAAGAACCCGCTCAGTATTTCTCAAACTGAAAGAACTAAGGAAAAAAATTTAAGCCTCAAGTTGCAATACTGAAAGATTCTATGGGCAAAATATTGAATGATGCAGGAAGCATTAAAAGAAGATGGAAGGAATACACAGAGTCACTATAACAAAAAGAACTGGTAGATCTTCATCCATTTCAGGAGGTGCCATATGATCAAGA